TGTATTCATTATCCTTAAAAAGATAACTTGTTCTGATGTTCTTTATTCATCTCAATAATTTTCCTTTTGCCCGAAGAGTTCCTATTAGTACTGCTTTTTGTGTTAATCTGTTTACAATGTATTCTCTGTTATTATTTGTCTAAATGCATCTTTATCTTCATTTTGCTTAGTTATGCATACTTGTATTTTCACTGTATATAAAATTATGTGGGTTTTTTTTCGGAATTTTGAAGACATCATCCACTGTTTTCTTTTCTTTGGTACCGGGGATTCAATTCCGGCCCTTGCACTAGTGAGGCAGGCACTGGAACCACTGAGCTAAATCCCTGGCCCCACTGTCTTCTAATTCTCTCATTTTCCTCGTAAAAAAGTCACCTATCATTCTTATCGTTGTTCCTTTATAGATAACATTCATTCCATCTGCCACCCACTCTGTGGCTATTTTAAAGATTTTCTGTTTCTTGAATCTTCAGCTGTTTCGCTGAGAGTACTACCTAGGGATGATTTTGTTTGTATCGATCTTGCTTGGGGTTCGGAGAGGTTCTCAGATTTCAGGTTTGATGTCTTTCGTGACTTTTAGAAAACTCACAGCCAGTATATCTTCAAATATTGATTCTGTCCAATTTCTTCTCTCCTTTTACTTTGAAATTTCAATTGCATGCTTGTGAAAGACCTTTTCAGCATGTCATATGTATTTTATACTCTTTTCTGTGCTTTTCATTTCTATTTATTTTTTCCTTTTAGATCTTCAGTCTGGTTGCTTTCCACTGATTTAGTTTCCTCTGAGTACTCATTTTAGTTGTGTTGAGTTGGCTGTTAAATCTCCCTGTTAAATTGGGTTAATTTACAGTTGTAGAATTTCTTCTCTAATAGACTCTAGTTTTATGATATAATTTAGCATCTCCTGTTTTTCTGACCATATTAGTCATAGTTATTTTAAAGCTTAGGACTGCTGATTCTAGGATCTGGGTAACTAGTGAGTCTGTTTCTATGGTCTATTTTCTTGAATTTTAGCCCTTTGATGCTATTTTTGCCATGCTTGGTAATTTTGGATTGGATGCTGTGTGAAAAGCCTTAGGGATGGCTATTTTGCCTTCCACAGAAGGCATAGACAGAATAGCAGTGGGCCATCTGGACCCTCTCGGGAACAGAAATGATCTGAGCACGTGTAGTCTTGACTGAGCTTGCTGCAATGACCAGGGCCATTCTTTTTTGTCTCCTCGGCACCATGATACGCTCCCAATCCACGCTTGCACTTTGCTATTTAGAGGTTATTTGAAGCAACTTATATGCTTGTTTGGGGCTACTTTGAGATCATGTTTCTACTTGGATCTTGGGCTCTTGCTCTCTATATGCCCATGTCTGTTGTAGTCTTATTACTCACGGGGAGGCTGTGTCCAGAATATTGGCTTCATTTCTTTCTGGTTCTGCTTTCCAGGATATTGGCTTATTGATTGGTTGCAGTGCTGAGGACCGAGTGTTCTTCCAGTCCCTTTGCCATGATTTTAATCGTCAGTTTCTGGTAACTTTGGTAGTCCAGAACTCTAATTTTTAGCCTAACTCTAAAGGACTTCTGTAAGTTCTGGAATACTACCCTCTACTTGGCTTCTATACAAAACAATAGGGCTCCAAGGTTTCCCAAACATCGGCCCTTTGAGTTCTGGCCACCTTAGTTACTATCAGATACTTTCAAAAGTTTCTTTTTAGAATTCATTTTTATAGATTTTCTTAGCATAAAGATTAGTCCACTACAAGTTACTCTTTTGTTGCCTAAAGTAGAAATCTATCTCATTTAATTTGTATAATATCAGTATGAATTCAGTATCGTTACTTCACTTTTAAAGATGGAATATTGTTAGCATTTGGGATTAGATCTTGAGATATAAATCTCAGCTGGCCACTGACCAAAATGTAAAATGTTGAAGAAATTTGACCTCCTCTGTCCTTTTAGTCAATATTGAAAAGTGAAGTGGAAAAAATCTTGAAGAATCAAATAATCCTATTTTTATTTAAACTAATTTGGAATTTAGTAAAAGAAAAACTTCCAAATGTATTCTCTAAAGCTAGTATCATGTAAAATTCCTGGATCTGAAAAAAATGATACACCAATCTCACGTTTGAATATAAATACAAAAATTATAGACCAATCAATATAAAATCGTATTCAGAATCACAGCAAAAAGAATCCAGCAGGGCTTTATTTTTTTATTTATTTGGTACTGGGGATCAAACTTGGGTCCTTGTTCTTGTGAGGCAGGCTGCAGAACCACTGAGCTGAATCTCCAGCCCTAACAGAACATTTTAAAAAACTGTATCATGGCCGGGCTGGGGATTTAGCTCAGTGGTTCCTCTGCGTGCCTCACAAGTGCAAGGTTCTGAGTTTGATCCCTGGCACCAAACAAATAAACCAATAGAAAATAACTGCATCATGGCCAAGAAAAACTTACTCGAGACCTACACAGATAGTGGGATATTGCAAAATCTATTATACAAATAATCTTGTTAATTAGAGCTGAAACTCATGATCATCTCCATAAATGAAGAAAAGTACTTGATAAATTCAACACATATGTATTTTATTTTATTTTTCATTCAACAAATATGTATTGAGCATCTGTTCTATTAAAGTACTGAGGAGACAAGAGTGAAAAAGACACTGGCTCCCTTTCAGCTCTCGCACCCGAGGAGGGAAACAGTCGGTAAATAAATGAGTAAGGAGACAAGCTATTTTTAGCTAGAAGACACACTTGTTTTTAAAATGGTAAAATGTATATTGATTTCATTAATATAATAAACATACCCTGGGCCAAAAGCCTTTATTTTATTTAATAGAGAAATGCTATGGATTTCTTTTTAAAGACAAAAACAAGATAAAAATGTCCATTATGTCTGTGACATTTAACATAGGGCTAAAGAATTAGTTAAAGCAGTAAGATAAGAGAAAGCATAAAAACATGGGAACAAGGGCTGGGGATTTAGCTCAGCGGTTCGGTGGCCTACCTTGGAAGCGCAAGGACCCGAGTTCGATCCCCGGGAACTGGACAGAGAGAGGTGATTGCGACTTGCAGGTTATATAATATGCAAATAGGAATCCCAAAAGAATCCATGGAAAAACTGTTACAAGCAAGAAGAAATACAGTCAGATGGCTGGTTAAAACATCACTGTGAAACCTCTACTGCCATCGTATACACAAATAAAAACCACTTAGAAGATGTGATGAAAGAATCTGCTTAGGACAACAAAAATATTTTAAAAGGCATATTCGGAAATGGAAAATAAAGACAGAGTCTTGAAAGAAGCAAAAGCAGAATGGAGGAAATTAGGGGAAGTGTCGATTTATTAGAGAAAGTGACGCAACATCACATAGGTGTCAGTTCTGCCTTCGTGTGTAGATTTTACGGTGCCACCATCAGAGCCGGGCGCGTTTTTCTCCTGGAGGTAGAAGCGCTTCGGATGACTGTCTCTGATTCCAGGAACCGTACACAGGGCCTCGGGACGGAGCTTCCCGGCTCAGCCTCGGGCCCTGCCCTGCGCAGCACCGGGAGGGCCAAGCCTGCCTGGCCTGGCGCCTGCTCCCAGCTCCCTGCCCGGCGGGGGCCCCAGCGTTCCGCAGGCTCCTTGCTGACTGTGGCGCTTAACACGGGGCTTCCTGGGCTCCGCGTGGGCTTCTGCTCCTGAGAGAAGCAGCCGGCAAAGAATGGGAAGAGGGCACCCTCTCAGGCCTCCTGTTCTCACCCAGCGCGGCCTCCCCTCCGGCCGCAGGAGGGTGCTAGACAGGAGCGCCAACCCGTGAAAGCCAGCGTTGTGCCCTTTAAAAGCTCTGCTGCGGACTCGTCCTTGTTGTGGTGAGGCAGGGCGCTAGCACGGATTTTCACCTTTTTCTCAACCATAAGCTTTTCATTCCAAACTGGTCACTTATGATGAGTTGTAGATACTTTTTATCGTTAAGAAGCTGCAGTGTATGTTCCCTGCCTTTTCTCCCATTACTTCTCCCTCGCTCCCTCGCTACCCTTCCCCATCTTACCACGCTCCCTAGTCATTCTCCCTTCTGGTGACCCTCCTCCCTTGTTCCTGTTGGAAAACCTGCCCATTTTCAGTGCTGTGTTGAAAAGGTCTTTTAAAAACACGTTTCCTTTCAGTTCCAGCTGAAATAGTCGTATTTATTGGGGCAAATCACCCTTGATTTCTCAGTGATTTGTGTTTCTTCTGTAGCTCCCTATTCAACTGGGAATATTAATGCAGAGGCTCTGTTTTACCTGAGTAACTTTGAAAGTTTGTTTATGGTACTGCACATAGCTGGCATCAAAAATATGAAACTGGCTGAGCATTGTGGCACACGCCTGTAATCCCAGCACTTGGGAGGCTGAGGCAGGAGGATCACTGTGAGTTCAAGACCAGCCTGGGCTACATGGTGAGTTCCAGGTCAGTCTCAACTACATAGTGAGACCCTGTCTCAGCTCCCCCCAATATGAAACTGAATTAGGAAAATCTAAGAGCTTAATTTTGTACAGTGCCATGGTTTCCAGCCTTTGGAAACCACGAATTGGCTACAGGTAGTCACCAGATGATACCAGTGAGCCATACAGAAATAGCGATCCTTGCTGTGACTCCCAAAAGGAGAACCTGCTGCTGGGCAGATTCTCCTCATACTTTCCCCCAGGTCCTACACAAGCACGTGCAAACGAGGCAGAGGAGAGTACCAGGTCTGAGAACACTCGGACCGGCCTAAACGCTGCTTAAGGAAGACCCTGGAAGTAAACTGTGCCTTAGAGGGACTACGTGACTAACAACATTTTTCTCTTGCCTAAGCCCTCAGGGCAGCAGGTGTTTACATTTATAGATCTCTGTGTTCGTGCGATCAGTGGAACCAGTTTTCCTGAGTTTCACGTTCTCACTAGTTTGTTCACCTTTTCGTGAATATGTGACAAGAACGAAGCATTTGCAAGTATCTGTGCGGATGAATTATTCTTCAAAAACACAAGTCTCTCTTTTCTTTCAGGGATCCAGAAGCTTTGAAGTCACGAGAAGAGAAGGTAGGGAAGACGCACTCATACCCACTTCATTCTCAGTGCTGACAGTTTGGAAGTAGTATGCTGAAACTAAGATGGACTTTGGGCTGTTGATGGCTGTCATTTGAAAAGTCTTGGTGCCTTTTCGGTTGATGAGTCCTTGGCGTTTGGCTCTAGAGACTCAAGGATTTCAGGGCAGGTTTGCTTGTAAGAGCTGTGGTTTCTACCTTTGTGTGTCAGGGGTGGGCTCTGGGGGACTGGCTCATTCGTGATCACCCTCATGCTCTCTGAAGAGCGGCCTTGCTTTTTAAGAAAGTCAAGTTTGAAGTAATTATTTGGTTTCATCCAGCAAAAACATCCACAATGAAAATTGTTTATAGTTTGAGGTGTTTCAATATCTGGAAAGAGATGCCACTGTGAAAAATATTTCTGATTAGATTTTTACAGCTTCAGCTAAACTGAAATAGAAATAACCAACTAATTTCCCTTTGGAAACAATTCCATGATGTTCCCTTTCCTCTGCCAGCGTTCCTCTAGCACATTTGTTTTCTGGTCTCTGAGGTAAGCATTATGGATGATAATTTCAGAAGTCTTTAAATGGAAATTGAAATTTCCCTTATTCACTTCCAGTAATACCTAGTCTCTAATAAGACAATATCTTCTGTGTGATTTGTAGAATCATTGAAAATAATCTCCTTATGCAGGGATGGGAGTAAAGTCAGATATAAAAGTGAATATTGGATCCAGAGTATGGTTTGGTGCCTTAGCCATTTCCTTCTATTTGACATTGATTCCAGTGAAGAGGGGCAGGGGGGAAAAGTGAGCAATTTCTGTATTGGCTCCTAAATCTAACAAATTCTTGCTGCCCAGTTCTTATGTTATGTGATACAATAAAAGACCTAAGGTAGCCATATTATCAGTACGTTCTTGCTTGCGTGGTCTTTTTTTTTCTTCTTTCTTCTCCCCTCCCCCTCCCCCTTCCTCTCCCCCACCACATTCCCCCCTCTTCTTCTTCCCTTTTGTACCAGAGATCAAACTCAGGACCTCGTTCTTGCAAGGCAGGCATGGTGCCCCTGAGCTAAATCCCCGGCTATCAGGGTGTGTTTCTAAGAGACTGAGAACGTGACCTTGAAGTTCTTTCTGCTCTCTCTGTACTGGGTGACACCGATTGTGCTGTCTGTGGTTCTGAAACCATAAATTCTCAGGATCTGAGTAACATAACTCCAGGATGCACTTTCTAGCTTTCACCCTCTGCCATTGTCTTTGCTTGGGAACATAATGTCCCCTGAACTGTACCCACAGCGCAAACTGCGTTGCTTGGATATCTGTGCCAGATAAAAACCGGATAAAGTCAGAGGGTGCAGGGAAGGAATTTTTTAAATTGACATTGTGTTCACAGTGGAAGTCGGAGAGAAATAGCCATAATGGGCAGAGAAGTTGCTATGAATGTCGGTTTTCCGTAATAGGCTATTTATGTTCATACTTCTGGGTGTGAGTGTCTGGTATTAATTTGCATTAAGGAATCACACATAAATATAACCATTTTTGAAATCTTATTGTTCTTGTGGGGGAAATGTCTCTAATAAGGCTGGGTCTATGGAAAACCTGTGTATATTTCCAGTCAAAACCGTAGAAAGTTCTGATTGGGCTTAAGGTTTCAAATCCCCAGAAGAATAAGTGTCTGTCTAGAGGATCAGATCTTATCCACAGTTTCCCCCTCTTTCTAATAGTCAGCTTTCACAACTGCACGACTGGGAACATATGCTTTGGGTTTGTAGTAGAGAATTTGCCCTGGTATCACATAAACTTTTCCCTTCTGATTGTGACCTGTCATCTTTCCTTCTTGTTTCTTTCAAAGTTGAATGTTTAAGAGTTCCTGAAATAGTTCAGTGCTTTGATGTCAGTGCTTATAACTAGTCAGACAGGCAGGCAGGCAAGAAGGGAAGGAGGGAGGGAGGGAGGCAGGGAGGGAGAGAGGAGCCTTATTGGTTCCAAGTATGTCTGGGCCTGAGAATTACTGATGGATTGTTTCTAACGTCTGAACAGTGTATGAGTACGAATATAATAGAGACACAGTATTCCAGTACATGATTATTCTGTCAAACAGGACTAACAACATGTACTTCAGGTTGAGTCCTTGCTCTGACTTGACCTGAAACCGAGAGAGCGCCAAGTGAGGAATGTCCAGTTCATCAGGCCCATGTGGGTCCAGAGAGGTGTGGATCCATCCCCACGTCTCTCAGCACAGCCCCAGCCCAGGGCCAGGAATTGTTCAATCTGTTTCTTAAACCTAAAACAAGCTACCCATTTTGTATGTCTTGTCTTTTTACTCTGGTCCTGCCTTGATGATACGCAAGCAAGGCACAGAGACCTCTGGCTCTCGAAAGATACTTTTTAAGGCTCATTCTGTGGGTGTCCCTTAGATACTTCTCACTGGTGCCTTGATGGAAGCACTTCACATTTGAATGAGCTTGGGGTTGCAGGGTGAATGGTGTTCCTCAAAACAGGATGTGGAAGGTCTGAGGTGGAACTGGTGAACATGAACTTATTTGGAAATACGGTTTTAGCAGATGTAAGAAGGTTAGGATAAAGCACGTGAGATTAAGGTGGGCTCTAACTCAGTGAGTGGGGTCCTCATAAGAGGAGAGAGCTTCGGGCCCAGACACACAGACAATGGCCCGTGGCTGACCATGGAGGCACGGGCTGCTGGTGACCACTGGAAGCTGAGAAGAGGCAAGGAAGAATTATCCCTTAGAGTGCAGTTGAGGGGAGAGGGGAAGAGGGAGGAGGGGGAGGAAGAAGAGGAGGAGAAAGAGGAGCCAGGAGGGGAGAGGAGAAGGGAGAAAAAAAATGAATGAATGAATGGTTTGAGTGGCCCTGTCGGTTGCCTAAGTTCGGACTTCTAGTTTCCAGAACTGCGAGAAAACAAATTTTCTGCCCTTCTAAGCCAAGTGATTTGAGGAACTTTATTATAACAGCCCTAGGACACTCATACACTTGGAAAACAGTGGACTCAATAAACTGGAGCTCGTTTTTCATGTTGCTGGTGATGTTTTCCTTGCAGAAGCTCTCCTATAGACTTTTCCTGTGTTAAATATGTCTCTCGACAGGAAGGGTCATGCGTGGCTCCTCTCAGACTCAGTTCCCCATGGGATTAAACTAAATTACCTTTGTGGTTTCTGATGCGGAGGGTGGCTTTCCTTGGAGTGCCCTTTGCGAGCCCTGCTGTGGAGGGTGGGAATGCAGACAGTCTGCTTAATGGGAGCAGCACCGGTGACTGCCCCTGTATACTGCGGTACAGTGGTAACAACTTCTAGGTGTCCTGAAGCTTTCAGAGTTCTCATGTCCTTTGTTGCCCTTGACTTTCAGTATCCCACGACACAAGCAGAACAGATAGTGCCTTTTAGGCGAGACGTTCTTCCTCCCCGTGTTAATTTTTAGCAGCGACAAGAACTCCTGTGAGCCAGTGCCCCTGTGAGGCCCCGGCCTTCCCTCTCGTGGGAGGCCGTTGCTCAGGAACTGCCCTGCCTTTATCGCATCCCAGCCCTTCTGTGCATCACATTGGCTGCCAGGCCTCCGGAGATGAGAGGAGCCCGTGGAGGGAATTCCCGGGGGCTTTGGGTCCGAGTTCGATCTGTGGTAAGGACTGTCTCGGGGAACGTTGAGGGAGACACAGCAGTAGAGACCGGGACGGGATGCAAGACCTCCGGGGTGTCTCCTGGCAAGGCGCGTGCCCTCCTCAGGGAGATGGAGCCGCTGCTCCTTCGGGCCAGTCCTGCATTAAACTCGATCCCTGGACCTGCCGGTGCCAGCTGCCTGGGGAAGCCGCTATGGCTGCATCTTTGTCTGCTTTCCAGCACAAGTATTTTGAGCCCTGTCTCCAGACACCCAAAATGTAATTTCTACCTTTTCTGAAGGTTCAGCAAGTGGTACCAGCCTTCCCTCTCCAAGACACGCCCGTGTCCACTCTGAGAGCCGGTGCTGATTGTGCCTACCAGAATTCGTCTCCTCACCCCAGTGCTTTCCCCTGACTCATCCCATCGCATTGAATTATAGCCCCGAGAGAACACTTGATGAGCGGAGCAAGTGGCTGGGATAATTCAGCCCTTGTCAACCACCTTGGAGGAGCAGGGAGTGACCTGTAAGCTATTTCAGATGCTGTGATTAGGGGCTTCTAGTCTGGGGGTGGGCAGCGTGTCACACTGTGTTATTCACCCTCCCACTGATGGCTCACTATTCTGGACCAGCCTAGTCTGGCTTCCAGGAGCTGTGTTGCTGTCTCCAAGGAAGATGAAAGAAGGGAGTGACTGCCACACACACACACACACACACACACACACACAACCTGGAGGCTGGCTGCTTAGCTGCTTAGCGATGCAAATCAACAAAATAAACATGACCTGCCAGTCCAGAATGGGAAGCCAGAGCCTCACTTTCTGAAAACCCTTGGAATTAGTTCCTAATTGGCAGCTCCTTCTAATAGCCTCTTTATAGTTCTCTGCATCTGGATGAACTTGAGCTATCAAGAACTGCATTCTGTTTACCATTAATTTTTATTTTGTTTAGCAGATGTTTTCTAGATCTCTCAGTTGCCTGAATAATCTATCTCAGTAGAATGTGAAGCGTCTGACTCTGGGGTGGAACAGATTAATCAACACCTGGGTTCTTTGAGGTAACTTCTTTAATGGCTGCAGATGAGGGGGATGTGAAAGGAAGCCATCCAGAGTTGACAGTGCCTGGGCAGTGGGTCTTTTTCAACTAGGGAAAGAGATGTTGTTTTCTTCCACATCTCACTCCTATTTCTAGACAGGAGGGCGTTGCTAGCCCCTGGGCTCAGAGTGGAATGATATCTGTCTGTCTCTGTATACTCCCAAGTCCCCCAATGTGGGATCTTCCTGGGTAGAGCTGCCTGTTTCCACCGATGGAAGTCTACATTGCGCCCAGTTATTACAAAGTGCATAGGATTTGGGTGGCACAGCTGGCTGGAGTGTTCTGCCTAAGTGCAGTGATTCAGTAGTAGTTTT